TGTTGGTACCGCATCTTCTGTTAATCCGCAAAGTGGAACGGTTCTTCAAGAGTGTGTGGCCATAGACTTAGAAGCTGACTTTAGTGATGCTGTAGGAGTCGAAAATAGTGGTTCTTGCACTTTGAAGGTAAAACCGTTGGATGCCGAAGCTTCAGGTGCGTCTTTGCCGCCTACAGACCTTCCCACAGATAAAGTTCAGGTGATTAACGAAGTTGCTCGGCCAAAAACCAGTTAGTTTTACGAGTTATTCCAGGACCTCTTTGCTTCTGCTACGATTTTCATCTGTTTTTCGATCATATAATCATTCGAAACGTTGTATGTTTTTTTGGACTCTAATACGTTTTTTTGTGAGTAACTTTTTATAGTAACGGACCAGTTTGCTGCGAAGCATCAAAAGCTGTACCAGAAATGTACGAATATTGAAGAAGATGCCAAACGTATTCTGGAACTTCATGACAAACATGAAAAAGAAGTCCCATTTCTTTTCAAGGTTTGTTACTTACTGTCCCGCTAAGACCTATCTTTCTCACAAACGGCAGTGATGTTAGAATCAGATCAAACCGTCAGTTTATTTCTGTTTTCATCCATTTTTCAAGTCATGAGCTGTTTCAGCGCTTAGCGACTCCTAAGTCTCTGAGAAAGGGAAGATCTGCGCTTCCGATTCCAGTCAGGAATACTGCCATTCAGTCGGATGTTAAAGGGTAAAGTTCCAATACAGCACCTAGTTTCAGTCGCGAGTTCTTTTTAGCTACCCTGACGAAGTAGGACTTCAGTCTGTCAAAGTCAAGTATGAGGACCGTACTGATCTTTTAGGTATGATTTTTCCAACGCGATCGGAAATGCGTCAAAAAAGTCCTTCAACTTTGGGGCATTGAATCCTGGAAGAACTGAGGATCTACATAAAGCTTTTCACAGCAGCAAGTCACCTGCACGTCTTATCTTGCACTCACTTAATGAAGATGCACAGTCTGCGGTGAAAGTCTGTGTCTGCACAGATTTTACTAGTTTATCTTACATTAATTTTTTTTGACTCTATTTGCAGTTCGCTTTTACAGTCAGAAACTACTTAACTGCTTATTGTTAATTACATGCAGTAATTTTAGTCTGAAAACATTTCAGGAGGGAAACGATAATTGCAACGTTAGTGAAGAACCTCAACAAACTATGAAGTTATGTCCGAGGTATCAGAAATGTTGTACGCCAGAAAGACGGACATTATTAGGTGGGCTTCACCTACTGAATGTAGTTTATTCTTATTTGGTCCTTTAAATGAAAATTTTTTTAGAGAGCGAACGACATAAAAGAGTTATGCCATTCGTTGACACTATGACCATGAGTGATACGCAGTTTGAAATGGCGAAGAAGGAGGGAAAAATACCTACTTTTATGGGAAGGAACAGGTTGGAGAATGCAGCCACAAAGTGGCGTTCTCTTTTATCAAAAATCGTTTTATTATGCTAACCGTCCAGAATTTCCAGAAAAAATGCGAAGACAGAAAGAAATGCTGCCTGATGTTCATTGTTTGTTACATAAAGTATCCGCCTAAAGTCGCACACTGAAGCAAATACTTCCTTTGCCTTACGGATGATATTTTGGGGGTCGATTTCGCACTACGTCTTAAGAAGTCATTATTCAGTCTTCTTATTTGTTTTAAAAGAAAGTAATTGTTAATATTGTTTAAGACGACAATGAGCTAAAAACCAGTTAATTTTAGCAGGAGTGTAAAAACTGTACTTCATTTTGACTTTATGTGCTATGGGTGGTGTTGGTCTATCACTCCGCCACTCGCTCTTTTGCACAGTTTTTTTATGCTAATGGATTCTGCTATAATGTAACTATTCTTTGACTTGCAAAACTAGCAATCGTCGTAACGAAAAGATCTTTTTGTTAACGCGTTCAGGAAGTGTTTTCGTAATTGACAAGAGTTGTGTACTGTTCCACCATCGCGAGTCATAAAAACATGCAAATTTTATGTGCGCAGCTGCCTTTGCTTTAGTATTTAATCGTTTTTTATTTTTTATACTGTCGCTCTGGCGGTGGGAATCATTGTAAATAAACTGTCTCTCAAAACTCACCTTTGGTACGTACACTCTGAACACGTTATGTGAGGTTGGAACGGCCTGCGTCTCTGATTTGTTCCCACTGTTTTACATGCTTCGACGACATGTTCGAAGCCCCAAGTCGTGGTTGAAACCCCACGCGTTTCTTAAGTCGCCATGCTGTAAAAACGGTAGGCTCGTTTGGTGAGAAGCTAGCCAGATTCTACGTAATGCGTTTTTTTGCAACCAGGCAGTGTATCGGGTAGTGAACTTAAAATACTCCAAGAGAAGCTAGGCAGGATTCCGTAAATATGATTGTCCGAATCCGCAAAAAAATTCCAAAATTTTATTTTCAAGTTCTGAACGGTGGATATTGGCTTTCGAGTACGTCAAAAGAAATTTTGGGATCTACATTTTCTTCCACTGTACGGAGGAATTCACTCTCCTGGGTGACTTCCACTTGGATGATATGACACCTTCTGCAGCCTTCCGACTGCTGACTCGGGGAAAATATCCATATCGCCCTTGCGCTTAAATATTTGCCTTGAACTTTCAATTGCTTTCCTCCTTGCTTCTTCCCTCGTGAACAGCTCATCTGCTTTCCTAAGCTCTTCAAGCAATCGTACGATCTTCTCCTAAACTCTAATATAAGTTATCAGGGAAGGAAAATAAGTTTTCATTGGGTGTGAAACCGAACACTTCACACTATAGATCAGATAATTCTCAGCTCAGAATTCTTATTTTTACCGACTAGCATCTAATTCTACAGATGGTGAGCTCACATTGTTGGTCTGCAAGCTGTAAAAATACCTTGTTTTCATAAGTGTAGCTCCCGGTTCTGAACACAAAAAAGTGACCTTAAGAGCAGTACATTAGCGTGCGGTTTCAAGCTCTACAACATGGAGTATCAGGTTCACAAGTGTCCTTACCGTCCCGACATGCATTTTTACACTTTGTTAAGACACCATAAAATGTTAATCATCCAAATAAAAGTTGAACTTCTAAAGTTAGCTTAAGTATCTACAATGATCCGCCTTTCAAGGAAGCAGTTGACTACATCAGCAAAACGTTTTAAAAAGACCCCTATAAAGCTCGCGAAGTTTTAGAAATCATTCTTTTACTTCCTACCTTACAACCTCATGCTACCATAGTCTCCCTCAAGGTTGCTAAGGGAGAGCTACAAAAAAGTTTCTGTTTACTCTTAAATGCAAAGAACTGCGATGGTCTTTCAATCTTCAACTCATTTTAAAGACTAAACCTTGCGACCTTGAGCTCCAAAGCCGGTAAATTGTACTTTCAACATTTTGCTAATTCAAGCAATATGAAGCAAAGGAAGTTTTGTACCTTACAATCATCTTTTTACAAAAAAAAATAGAAATACAATTTGCTAAAAACTTTTTGCTGCTTTCATCCTCATCAGAACTAATTTTCTCGACCTTCTACCTTCGTGCCAAATGGGCTACAACTCCAAGAATACATATGAAAAAGGCTTCACTTTTCGGTGAAGGAAAAAGTAAGCTTTCCATCCCTTAAAAGTACACAAATTTTGAAATAATAGAAATTTTGAAAATCAAAGTAGACAGGGTCACTTTTTTCGACTTCTCAGCTACTGCTTTATTTCTTGCTAGAGTCCAGAAACATTTAGTGCAGCTAAAAGGAATCTTAAAAGGTTCTAATTCCCCCTGATTATTCATCAACATCACACCTACCTATAATTCCGCCGCCAGTCATTTTTTATGCTCGAACCGTTCCCTCAAAAGCAAGCTCGTACGAAAAAAATGCTTGTCACTAAGTATCAGTCCTCTTTATTGAAACTAAGTAAGTTCAAGAACATGAAGCATGGATTTACCATATATGTAAACATAAGAAAGTTCAGCAGTTGGTATTTTGCTACAGACAATGTAATAAAAAACATTGGAAGAAATTATTTCCCAAGGATTAGAATAACTCACCCCAATCTCAATCTGTTCCTTCTTCCTTAGTACCTGAGCGTGGCTGGTAAACAGTACTGGACGTCCGTCTAAAAAACCGAAGTTTGAAAACCCGCGACATACACAAGGGACTAAGCAAATGAATTCACCTTGAAATCCAAAATCAGGACCCCTCTCCAGTGGGCTCACAATCGGCGCCTCATAAACCCTGTAAACTCCACAGTAACAGTAGAAATAATGTGGCCTGAACACCCCAGAAACTACTTTTTTCCAGTCTCTCCTGCAGTATAATAGAGAAAAATGCAGAGTTGCTCACGACAAAAAGAAAAACTCACGGGTTTCTCCACCACTGGAGACGACCTTGTGGGCGTCTAAGAGGGCGCCGTCTAGCTTCTTGAAAATACTTTGGAAGGTAAAATTTCTCCGGCCTTAACTCACTCCGTAAAAATGAAGACAAACTAAGCCTCATATAAAAAAGAAAAAGTGGTGTACTTCCTGAAACCGACTTTCTCAACTCGCCTCCATACACACTACATTAAACATCACACTACCAAATACGAGTAACAGTCAAACCATTAAAAATATGCACTGCGAGTAAACAAGTATGCATGGAAACGAATTCTCAGAGATCTGATTTTTGAGCAATAATAAACAAAACAATACAAAATGCATAACCATGTACGCTCTCGCCACAAATGAATATGTAATTTTAAACACCGGTGCAACTGGTCAACATCAACAGCGTTTCCGAATGAGTTTAACGTACATGACAAAGAAATAAAAATCGATGGAATTGAAAGTGAGATACTTGACAGAATCAGCATTTTAAAACGGTTAGGAATTAAGAAACCATTGCATATATCCTTAAATAATTAAAACACTTTAGGGGAAATATAAAATGACTGTTGTGGCAGCTATCTTCATTTTTTAGTTTCGGATAATCTTAGCTTACAACAAGTTACTGAAACTCATTACGACAAACTTAGACCCTACTCTATTCCAGGCTCCACCGAGAGAAAGCTTATGCGATAACTGCATTTTTTAAAAACCAAGTGAAAATTTATGGTTTACTTTCCGTTCTCAATCTTTTCAGGACGGTTGATTTCCCCAGAAAACTAAGCTGCCGCACAAAACTTAACAGTCCTCTAAAGTTTATTGCAAATACAATAGTATATATTCAAGGAAAAATGAAAAAGGAAGTTAAAATGAAAAGATCACTCCCACATCTTTATTAGGCTATCCCAACTACCAGTAATTATACGAGACGTCTCATGAGGATGCCATAAAGTTGAGATTACACATTCATCATGAGCTTTCCAACGTGCTACCGTCTTGTGGTTCCGCCAATCCCATATAAACACTTTGCCATCAGCGTCGCCAGAAGTAAGGAAACTAAACCCACACCGTTTATAAAAATGTCCAAAAGTACTAAGCTCGTAAGCCAAAGGACTCTACGGTGTGATCAAGTGGAAATACTTTTTAAAAAGATGATAGAAAACGTCCACCTCATTTCTGGAGAGAAGTCAACAGAGCAGGCGTATCCGGCAACATTATGTCCCCTGAATGCTTTTTTCTTGGCAAATCTTAATTTGTCATCAATCAGCTGGAAGAGAACAATACGATTGTCCATAGACTGCCCAACAATCCATTTCTCTAAAAATCCCTTTGGCAATTAGAAAATACGCAATTCTTTTGAATTACAAGTGAAGGAAACACCGATCAAACAGCGTCTAAAGGTACATTTTATATCTAGCAGAAATAAATATCATTGGAAAATCGACTTATGTGGTCAATTGACGACTTTATAAAAAATTAAATCGTCGTAATATTACTATATCACCTGTTGGTGATTTCGTCATGGTTGGTATAGAGTGCAGGCCAGCATTTTGTATCAGTTTTGTATCAACCGGTATCTCCCTAAAAAAAATAACCGATTAAGATAAGGATTCTTTAAAAATCATTAGCTCTCTTAAATCAGAGAGACTACTTCAAAAAATTTTTGCAAAATAGTAAACTACCACATCACTTAACAATCACAAACGTAAATTAACAAACCACTCCCAAATCCGTATGGATTTATCGTCGGATGTTGAACAAAAGCGTCGATTCTTATCGAAAAAAGTTATTGAGTTAACAATCCCCAAATGCCTGTCGTACTCCTGGAACTCCAATAGTAAATAATTTTCCAGTCACAAATAGATCGCAAATAAAAAGCACAAGCGACAAAAGAATATTACTGTACAAGTCCTCCTCAAAAAAATTATACCAATCTCCATATGTTACCTGTACCACTTCCCCAGTTCGAGTATCCCACTGTAAAATTTTTTTATTTTGCATTCCGGAAAGAAACATATTTTGCTTATCATCATCGGGATTAAACTTGACACAAAATGGTATGTGCCCAGTGTGAAATCGTTGCTTAACCTGTCCTAAAGAAAAATTAAGGGATATCGAAAGATGAAACAAACAACAAATGACAAACATCCCGGCACAATAAATATAAACAAAAAGTTCTACCTCATTTTAAATATTAAACGCCACACAATTATTCTGAGAGTCCCGTTCAAAAAAAGTCTTAAAAACTACAAATCTCCAGCCTAAAAAAACTTTGTTTGACTGATGAGGCAATCGTAACTAGCTTCTAAGCAGACTAATGTAAAGAAACAAGCAAAAAATTTCAACACTCAACCTCAATAATACCGAAAATTGGCTATCTATTTATTTACCAACCATAGAAAACTTGAACCAAGTGAACAAAACTTAGACCCAAAATGCTCGCAGCAGGAGAAATGAGAAACTTTTTGCCCCTGTCAAATGTCACCTTAATGCACAAGGAACCAAAAAAGTAAAACAGTGAGTCTCAAGTTTCCCAACATAAGTAAAAAGACTGATGGTTCTTCCACATACCAGTTTCCGTGTCCCACAACTTTATAAACCGGTCAAAAGAAGCTGAAAGAAATTCTGTCCCATCATTGTTGAAAGCTATATCTTTAACCGACATTTTATGACCAAGGTAAGTACGCACGACACCTTTCTTGCCATACACTTCCCATAATTTGACCTATAAAGAAGAGAAGTTCTGACAAGTAACTACTCCAAATGTGGAACAACCTCAAACTAATGACGCCCTGTGATGAAATGTCCCTATATTCGCAAAAGAAAAAAGTTGCTCTTTTAACGTAGTATTTTTACCTTGTTGTCCATAGATGCACTGAGAATTAAATGAGCGCTTTTTGGGAACCACCTCAAACAATTGATGCCTTTCGTGTGTCCTCTATACACATGAACTAAATTCGACGGTATGTAACATCTTTCAGGAACATGATCCTCACGAAGGTTGACTCCAATGTACTGTGGAGCGTGCATAAATGATCTCCCCTGGTAATCTTGCGGCTCTTTCACTAAACAAAAAAAGCAATTGTTGACGCTTAATTCATATCGCAAACTCTTCAAAGTTCATGCACGAGTGGAAAGCACAGAAGCTTAATTTGAATGCAGCATATCAGTTACAAGCAATTGCAAAAAAAAAATAAATAAATAAAGTGAGAAAAAGGAATTACAGTGAAGCGTAGACGACTCTTCAACAACTCCCTGTTGTTGTTCAGCAGCCTTACGACCAGCTCTACTATTTTTTTGTCTCTTTTTAACAATTTCCTCAAGTTCCTTAGCGAGTTCTGGATCAGGTCTTGCAACAGTTACCTCGTCTTCAAATTTTGCCCATGGCCCTAAATGAACCGACAGAAATAAAAGAAAAATGAAACAACAATAGCTTAAATGTTAAATGTTTTTGTGCCAAACAGAGCAACCGGTGTCAAGCATCAATATCAAAAAACCTGTGTATCCATCAACGTCGCTAGAGTCCATATTTCGGATACGTTTCCTTTTCTCACCTCCGGTTTTCTCACCTTCAAACAAGCTTGCGCCTTGCTTCTTTCTTGCCTAAAAACCGAAAATTCACAGTTAGATCTTCGCAAAAAATGTAAATTGCTTCTAGGAACTTTCCACTACGTCATCACTTAGTATACAGTTATCAAAAGCAACTTTAACATCATATATCTACCAAACGTTACTTCTTTCAAATGCACGCCTGAATCACTCCTTGGCAAAACCTTACTTACTGCTACATTTTTTCAATGGCCCCTCTACAAAAAATACCTTTTCAACATCACCAACATATTTCGTGCCTTGCGTAGCTGTAGGATCACGTGCATACCCAAGAGTATCAAAAGATCGAATCTGTTGTTCAAACTGGAAACTGTTCACGTGAGCTGGCTCTACAAATCCAGTGAGCATATTTTTTTTTGCTCTTTGGTTTTCAGATTTGAAGGGGTTACTCGGTCCTGCCTGAATGGATAATTAAATAACCTATAACAGTCAGAAAAACAAGAGAATAAAGCAGCACTTAACAATGCTCAATAAAACAGAATAATCCATCCAAATACCTTATCCAAAAAAGTTTGATAAGACAGCACATTTTACCTCAGGCTGAAACAGGTCCTCAAATTTCGGATTGTACATTAATTGATTATCAACTGGAACAACGCAAGACACCCCACCGACATCGTGCTTTGTTGCTACACATGGTGCAACATCTAAAAAGGATTTACCAAGTGATAAAGACTTGCACTCTCCAGGAACCACCGATTTTGCTAGACTTTCATCCATAGAATCCGACGAGCTCTCATCACCGCTTTCACCATAACTCTTCAGCAAATCCATTCAACGGCTAGTTCGTTCTTCTAAATTACTATAAGCGATCATAAATACTGTGTACCTGGCAGAGGTAAATGCCCATTTAAACCATTAACAGAAATTATAAAAACTTATAAAGGGAGTACGAGATAATTTGAGCAATCAGAAATGTTCTTTAGTAACCAGCACTAATACTCAATGTAGTTGTCAGAAGTAATCAAGAAAATTTTGGCTTTAATAAAACCTACTGAAACATCAGAACCAATATTTTCCTAAGAACACTAACTGTCACATTTCAAGCTAAAATTTCCAAACGTTTTCCATACACATGTAACGACTAGAACTGCGACTTCTTCAACAGGAAATTCGAAAATGAATGATGTTTGCAAAACTCCACTTCCCCTCAGTTTATTCAAAAATTTATGCACTGTATCTCCTCTCTGACATTCATATCGGCTATACGTTGGGAGTCAGAAGTACGGCAGTGAAAAAATATGGCATTAAAAAAAAACGCAAGACCAGAAGCCTGCAAAAATTCGTGCCGCTGACGTTTTACGCTTTAAAGTTACAAAACCAAAGTCCACATCCTTACAGTACAGCGAAAGATATATATATTTAGTTTCTGTTGACGTCTACAAATTAGAAAGCCGCTGAAGTTGATAATCCTTGAGTAAAAAATTGGCCCCGATATCCTTCCAGTATAATCAAATTCAAGTCGCCAAATTTACGACCAGCATGATCACTGTATGATGTCCGAACACTGGTGTCCAAATCACCGCTTAGCGGTTAATGCGCCTCAAAACCTCTGGCCATCAGCCCATTGTGCCGATCATTCAGATTCATATGGCATGTTGCCTGGTCCTTTGAACGCTCGCCAATTGCGGCAATTTGAATTCCGAGTTCCACCTGTTACACCACTACTTTTGCCGATTTAACAGTCAGACATTTTTTGATTTCGGAGTGTTATATGCACATGGACAGTGGCGGCAAAAAAAATCTTTCATTGATCTAATTCCTTGCCGGATGTAGCTTTCTCAGTCATTTTTAAAATGCTTTTTGTCAAGTTTAGAACAGCATTCTTACAAGTTATTTAAAGAAATACTACTTTCAGATATAAAATTCCTATGAACAGATGTTGAATATTAAAACTGCGAGAAGCAAGATTTTGAAAAAATTTGTAAAAACTTAATTATTTATTTGTCAAGAAGCGAAAATGATAATAAGAAAAAATGGAAGTTAGGAAATAAGTAATATTTCGACGGACACCGCTTTCGCTTGACTACCTTCTCCAACTTACTCTTCATTGGAGCTACCAACTGCTTGCTTCTGTTCCTTAATACTTTATTCCGATTTCCCGAAACACATTTCTGCAAAATGAAGGTCCCTTTGAACTGGAATACTGCCTCTATGCCGTGCTAGTTCATGGCTTCTCAAAGCACAACTGATTCACCTCTGAACTTCACAGCCCTCTGAGTCAAGAGCTGCGATTAAACTCTTCATCTTATTAAACCGCCTATTAAAAATCATCATTACTTTCCAAATTCTGCTTACCCTTGTCAGCTGTCAGCACCCGTTACCAGTCGGTATCTGTTTGACTAAAGTGGTCCTTGTCGACCTGCAATCAAAGTTTCTCGTTTTCAGTTAACTCGCACAGTTCTTCCTCGCAATCACTCATGCAGGTGTCCGCACAAAGTTATAACGCTGGTTTTTGCCTTCCATTTCAGTCGGTGTGTCCACAGCAGTCAGCCGACTGTTGGCTGCCGATAGCCGATTAACTTGAGTAGTCGTTTTCAATTACCTCTCAATTTTTTAATTGTTTCAGTTTAGCCCGTTCCTCCGATTGTGAGCACGTGTACAGGCATACAGAGATTGATCGAAATACTTTGCAGTAGCTGAAAAACTTAGACTCTTGTTATTCGACCTAACAATTATTCGTTCCTCACATAGAGTGAGCCTAACTTTCAATCCATACCTACAACACAGTAACAGGGCGCATGAGAAGGTGGCAGAAAAGCTCACTCATGTAGCGAACAGTAGCAGAAATTTGGTCTTTTAGCGCTTTTTCAAAGCTAATCTGGACACAGTTAAACTGTTAAAATTTTGATTTACCCGAGATATTTTTCCACATGGTCTTTTCAACTCATGATTCTCACACGGTGGAAAGAATTTTAACAAGAGAAATGTTACAACTAACTAGTCCTTCAATTTCATCTTTATGCATCATCGCTGCCAAAACTGTAGCCGCTACTATAAATATGTATAGGCTATTCCGCGTCAGGTGACACGCTTTTTTCCCCTCATATCTTCAAATCTTTTCGAATTTTACTGGTTAGTAGAGTTTAAGCCAGTGTACAGAAAACCGAAAAAATCCTGGGAAAGTGAATCTCCCGTCGATTTACACCTGCTCACAATTGTAAATGAGTTGCCACATGACGTACCGACATCTGCAGACTCATACATCAGCCTCTCCTCAACAGAATTCAACAATTTTTTAATTCTCTAGCGTTGATATGTCCTGCACTTTTAAATGTATTGTGAGTTATTTAAGTTCTCTGAAAAATTTTATAGATAGATTGAAAACAGTATTTTGAACAAATATATAAGAAACGTATTTTTAAGTTTTTCAGAAAGACATATTCTATGGAGGATTTTTTGCTCTAATATATAGCAAAATTTGGTTGTAGCGTTCTTCTGGTATCAAGAATTAAGAGCTGGAAAGGAATACAAAAGTGAAAAAAAACCGTTGCTTCCATTGTAACCCATGTATTTCATGGTTTTGAAACCGTTTCAAGCCGCTTCTGAAAGCTACGGAAGGCGGCTGTAAAAATCCGGCATTTTCTTGAATAACGTCAAAAATTTGTGACAGAAATTTTGCTCTACTTTAAAATATTAATAAATTATTATCCCGCAAAGTTTACAATAAGTTTTTGATATTGCATGAAACATTAAAGATATCCACGAGGAAACAAACTTTTATTAACATCGTCACGCCGCGCACAAATTTTGGGTTGTACAGACAGGTTTTAGTTTGAAAGGGTAGAAAACTACAATAGAAATCTGACTTTAGTAGCTTTCCAGTTGAGAGAATACTAGAATTGGCACAGTTACTATTATGCTTGATCTAAAGAAGGAGTTTTGGAGGAACACAGATTGTCTGCTGCTTTTAGTTTTCTACAGAGAACATTGATGTTATAATTGCTAGGATGAGGATTTGAATACACTCTGTTTTCATAGTTCTTGGTTATTTTGGTTGAAGTGCTCACAGCGAAAAAATGGGTTCGAGCTGACTGTTTTGCATGAAGGTTTTATCAGCGGCTTCTGCGCCTAAAAAGAAAATTATCATCTTTGTGCGTCGGAAAAAAGTAAATTAGTACCTGTAAATGTATAAAAAATTATTTTCAGGCTAAAAATTAGCAATTAAACAACAAATTCGCTTTAAAAGTTAAGTGAACGTCTTACATTTTCTGTTAAATTACTTACCCAGTTTATCCGCCAACCTAGTGTAAACGTTGTTGAGACCATGGAAGATAGAATGAACGTCGACACAGGTGTTATTGTTAACATCAGGTATGTAGTGACCACAACAGCAAAGACAATTATGGCCGTTGCTAAAACTCACTGATTACTAAAGAGTTGTTTCATTAAATGTACATTTTCCATGTTTTTTTTCCAAAAATATTTTGTGTGGAAAATTTAATGTTTCATTTGTGATGCGAGTTGCACTTTAAACTATTATTATGACTGAAATGAAGGAATACAACACGCATGAGATATTATTACTGGCTAATTGGTACTGGTATAATAAAGGTAAAACCATAATTTTCTTTAATGTTTAGTTTTTTTAAATATTGGTGGTTACCTGGCACAAGTGGTACCTTCCATCAGTTCATAGAGGAAGGAGAAGTGTTTTTTACGAGGATGGTGGTCAAAACCGTTACGCATGTCAAAAGGTCCAAATTCTCCTCCTCTTCTGGCTGGCCTCATTCCATAACCTCTGTGGTACAGTTCGAACTCACCATCCTTTCTTCCATTTGGACGGAAATGGTGACCTTTTGATTCTGGTATAAAATCGGAGTCTCTTCGGTCGGGCCTAAATCTCCCGTCTCTTCGATATGGCCAGAAATCATGACCACTTTCTTCCGGTCCAAAATCAGGCCCTCTTCTGTCAGGCCCAAATCTGTATCTTCTCTCCTCTGGTCCAAAATGAGGCCCAAACCCACGACCCCTTTCATCCGGTCCGAAATCTGGTCCAAATCTACGACGCCGTTCGTCCGGTCCAAAACCAGGCCCTTTCCTGTCAGGTCCAAATTCATGACGTCGTTCGTCTGGACCAAAGTCAGGTCTTCTTCTGTCTGGTCCATAACCATACTCTCTGCTATCTGGCCCAAGACCAGACTCTCTTCTACCAGGACCAAATCCGCGACCTCTTTCATCCGGCCCAAAATCAGGTCCATAACCGTGGCCTCTCTCCT